AGCCAGGCACTGTGGAAAGTTCCAAAGGGCAGACTACTTACAAGGTTCTGTGAAAATCCAAAGTGAGGTTGGTGTTGTTTACCTGGTTTGGGAGGAGGGGAGAGGTAACAACAGCTTCCTTCCTGGGGGCTGGGCAGTTTGACTGGGGACACTGGCTGGTGTCAGCAGTAGTGGGTAGTGAGGGACTTCCAGATAGGCAATTTATTTGCTTGTACTGAAGAGGTGCTTGGGGGCCTTCACCCAGTGACCTTACTGGTCATCTGCTGTTAGAATGAAAACTCAAAAGCCAGATGTGGTGAGATTTATTTTTAATTCTAGAACTTGGAAGGCAGAAGCAGGCACATCTGGTACTCTGTGAGTTCAAGGCTACCTAGAGAGACACTGTTCAAGAGAGAAGGAAGGAAGAGGAAAAAACTGAAGAGTGTCACCAAAACATGAGCCCAAGTGAAGAATTGAAGGGTGTTCTTATGGGCTGGGGACCCTTCTGGAGGGCTGGGGTGCATATCTCAGTCTTTGGTCTTCTACAATCTCTGATCAATGTTCTCAGCTCATTCCCAGGTTTGGGCTTACTGACACTCACACACACCCATCACACCCTTAAGGTCACCTTGCCAGCAGCAAGGTCTTGGAGTCAAGTGCAGAGCATTGGCTGTGGCACTATAGTCACTGTAGGAGGAAGTTTGACCACCCTGATACAGTAGCCGCACAGGATGGGGTGACTTCATTTCTTCTACAAGGACAACATAGTGAATTCTTTATAACCTGTTTACCTCGGCTACAGGGAGGCTGATGCAAAGTTAGGTTGTCTGGTGCCTCTCTGGGTGAAAGGGCAGAACATAGGCCGGCTGCCTCAGTAGCTGTCAATGCTGTAAGCATTGGGCTCTCAGACAGAGGTATGCACAAGGGGTTTTGCGGACCATCTGCACAGTCTCCCTTCTTTTTCCTCCTCTTAGTCCTGAGGTCACAGTATGGCAGCAAGTCAAGAGAAGAGATGAAAACTGAGAATGAAGTCTAGGGACTCTGGATGTCTCAGGTGCTCTGCAGCCAGGCTGCCATGCTTCCTAACATCATAGACCCATCTCTCTCTGAAGCCCCATAGTAGCCAGGACGTGGGATTACCTGATGGACCAAAAGGCAGACTCTCTCACTGAGTGACAGACACTTATGCAGCCATCCTGCAGGTGATGAAACCTGGATATGTGAAGTATAGTACGCCAGTTCCATCTTCTTTATTGCCTAAGTGGACTGTTCCCAGTGATGAGCCCAGTCTGGGGTCAGGAGTTACCATGAAATAGAAACCAAGAGTCTAGCTGACTATATTGCTCTTTACATTTAAGTATTGAAGGAGCTTAGAAAGGCCTTGGGGAGGGGTCCTTAATGTGAGGTCATTGCCGTGGTCTTGAGCACTGATCAGGTAAGAATCAGGAGTTTTTGAAAACTCTACAGAAAGTTCTGTATCTGGGAACTCCTGGTCAGCCCAAGCACTGGGCATTAGGAAAAAAAAAAAAAATGGTGACTGGTCATTTGAGCGCCTGGTCAGTTGGGTTTCTGAAAGACTGGAAAATGGCTCTGCTGGTGGGGAGGGCAAATGAAACATCTGGGGATGGGCAGGAGAGCTCCCAGGGAGCCACACAGCTTGAAGGAGGCCTTTCCACCCACTACTCTCTCCTAATTGTTCCCCTAGCTGTCCATAAGGCTGAAATTACTAAGCCTTGTTTGTTCAGGTTCCTCCTCACTTTCCCAAGCTGTCCCTAGGACCAGCTCAGGGATCTTTGACGGTTGGAGTTCAGGAGAACCATGATCCTAAGGGCTGAGAACTGCAAAGGTCAACTTGGGGAACTTTTCTGTGCAGCCCCTAAGTATAGTAGACCTGGTAAAAATGAAGGAGGGTGGTTCATTCCAGGGGCAACTAAACCTGCCTGTGGGTTCTTAAAGTCTCATCTGATCACAGTGGCCATTCTAAAGGATGATCCCTGGGGTAGACCTGGGATTC